TGGCCAGCAAAGACATTGAAGACAATGAATCATGGTCAACTAAGCAAGACGAAGAAGCTCTCCACGTCCGTAAGTCCTACCTAAGATCCCACCACTGTCTGCCTTTTTATTTGTAGTCTTTGAACCTCTCCTGCCTTACCCACAGCCCTTCTCAGCAGAGACACAGAGGTCAAAGGTCTAGACCACCTGCCTTGTTCAGTATCTTTGAGTCCCTTTCCTTGACAGCCCTGCCTACCCCAAAAGACTGAAAATGTCCCCTTTAAATTGTGTTACACTGAGCCATTCCCCCACAGACACAGACACAATCACCATTTGCTTTCATAACACTTGAAACTCTATTCTTATTTATCTTGTTTTTCTGTAAAGGTTTATTCTTCCACATTTCATACGTATAGAAATTATTTTCCCACATTCTTCACATTCAGCCCCTGGTTTTCCACAGGTTTACAAATGTGTTGTTTTCTGCTTGGCTTGGGCCCTTTCGTGTCAGAGAGCTACAACAACTGCTTACAAAGCCCAGGGTGAGCTGTGGCTCCCAGTCCTCCGGCCTCAGTCTCCCGGACACTGGAAAGGTGTATATAGGCCGCCCGGCCCAGCTACAGACACCGCTCATTTTAGCCATACATTGTCAGATGTACGCGGCAACAATGTCCGAAGCTGACAAAACATCTCTGCATCCATCGTCACAGTCTGACTTGTGTCGTTGCTTTTTGTTGGTTTGTTTTTACTTTTTTACTCTTTTGGTTCTTTGCTTTTGCTCTTTTGGGGGACCCACAACCCAGCTCCTAAATAAATACAGAGAGTCGTAACTCTTACTTACAAATGCCTGGTCTAGCTTGACTTGTTTCTCACCAGTTTTTCTTAGTTTAAATTCTCCCATCTATCTTTGGCCTCCAGGCTTTTCCCTTTTCTTACTTCTGTAATCTTCCTTTCACTCCTACCCCATGGCTGGTTGTGTGGCTGTGTGGCTGTGGGCTGGGGTCTGGGGGATTGGGGGGATAGAGGGCTGGGTGGACAGCTGGGGACTGGGGGGCTGGGGGATTGGGAATCTGGGGGGGCTGGGGAGCTGGGGGGCTGGGGAGCTGGGGGTCTGGGGAGCTGGGGGGCTGGGGAGCTGGGGGGCTGGGGAGCTGGGGGACTGGGGATCTGGGGCCTGGGGAGCTGAGGGGCTGGGGGGCTGGCCCCTTCTTTTCTTACTCCTTCCTCCCCTCCTCCCAGATTTCTCCCTCTATTTATTCTCTCTGCCTGCCAGCTCCACCTATCCTTTCTCCTGGCTCCCTATTAGCTGTTCAGCTCTTATTAGACCAATCAGGTGCTTTAGGCTGTCAAAGTAACACAGCCTCACAGAATTAAACAAATGCAACATAAAGGAATGCCACACATCTTTGCATCATTAAACAAATATGCTACAGCATAAACAAATGTACCACATCTTAAAATAATATTCTACAACAACTTTAAAATGCTTCTATCAACCCATCAGAAGACATGCCCATCCATTGCCCCTCCCCAGTCTAAACCTCAGAGGCCACAAATCTGCACAGAGATGTGTTTTCTCGTATCTGTGATCTTTGGTAATTCACATTTGGACTTAGAGTCCTTGGGAGTCTACTGAAAGCTATGGGTCTTCTTTTAAGGAAGAAATCCAAAACCATGAATACTATCCAAGGGTAAGGAGACCTCCGACCTCAGGATTTCCTGCACTGAGCAAGTATATGCTCAATCAGATATGTAGAGGGACCTCAGTGGGTAGAAGTACCATCCCTGCAAGAACAAAGATTTGAGTTCAAATCCCCAGAGCCATACAAAAGTCAGATGCATAGCTCAAATCTCTGTAATCCCAGCATCCCCACAGAAAGACAGGAGACCAAGGCAAAATTATTCCTGGGACCTCATGGGCTAGCTTGCCTCATACACACGGCAGGAAAATGGCAAAGGGAGCCTGTCCCAAACAGGTGGAAGAAGAAGTTTGACATCTGAGGCAGGGTGGCCTGGGAAGAACTGGCAAAGACTGGGTGCTGTTTAGATTCAGGGAGATCAGAGTGGACCTAGGGTCTGGACAGTCCCTGGCTTATCAGAGCCAAAGTGCAAACTCCAGAAGTTCAGAGAGTCAGGACCTGTCAACAAGGGCCCAAGGAGGACTCAGAGCTCTCAGAGCCACTCTGGATGGAAGTGAGTGAGAGACTGATTCCTCTGAATTTCTGGAACCTTCTTCCTTCAATGTCTGTGTGTTGCAAGCACAGGATGTGGAAGGAATGGGTGGTGATGCACGTAAGGAAAACAAGGATGGCAGTAAACAGGGAAGCTCTGAGTAGGAGGATGACTAAGATCGCAGGTAAGAGGAGGACAATGGCCGTGAGGGCTGAGCTGGAGAGACACCTCTGTCTTCCCATCGAGTTGGAGTGGTGCTAGCCCAGCTAGGATGGTTCACAGAAGCATCTCGCATCCCAATCATTGGGCTGAGACCTGAAGAGATGGGGCTTCCACCACTTTCCATCACTAAGAAACCTAAAGGAACTGCTTGACAGAGGTGGGGTTTGTTGTGCTGCAAGGGTTTCGTTTCACGGGCACCGACATCATTGCTTCAGGAATATGGCAAATGAGAGCATCACTCAGAGGTTCCCACCTCGCAGCAACAGGGAGCTGAGTGAGTGGAAAGGAAAGGGCTGGGCCAAGGTGAGTCCTGTGAGATGTACGCTCCCACTAACCTACTTCCTCCGACTCCACCGGGGCTCCTAGAAGCTCGTTCAGCGTGAGTCGCCGTTGGATTAGCACACTGGCAACGCCTGCACCCCTGTGACTCCTGCAGTCCTCAACATCGCCGTGCACTGGAGCCAAGCCTTCAACACACGGAGGGTTATTTCACTTCAAAATCGTGACAAGGGTCCACTGGCATGAGGAAGGGTGTGGAAGCCCCAAGCCTGCTGAAAAAAATCAGCCAGTGAGAGGCAGGAATGAGGACAATGAGATCATGACTTAGATTCTTTCCAAAAGAACTGTAGGGATCTGAATGTTGACGCAAAAACTTTGTTTTCAAAGGCTGACACTCTCCTCAAATCAGGCAAAATACAATTGTGATCTGGATTCGGCCAGTTTGGAAAATAGTCGGGGTTTCCCAAACAATATTGATTGTCAGAATCTGAGACAGTTTTCTCTGGCTGCAGCAGAGGAGCTGGAAAGACGGCTCAGTCAGTTAACCACGTGCCAAGCAAGCATGAGGATATCAGTTCATTCCCCTCAGCCACTGAAAAAGCCAGCAATTTCAGTGCCCAGCAGAGAGAGACAAGAGGTTCTCTAGGCTTTGCTGGTCAGGCGGTCTAGTCAATCAGGAAACTCCAGGTTCAGTAACAGATTCTTGTCTCAAAACATGGGGTAGAGATCAAAGACACCCCATATTGGCCTCTGGCCTCGTGCTTGCCCCCCACATGTAAGTATGTATTACAGAGAGAGAGAGAGAGAGAGAGAGAGAGAGAGAGAGAGAAACAGGTATACATCACAAGCAAAAATAAATTAATTAAAAAACCCTTCAAAGTCTATGAAATCAGGTAGATCTCTTTAGCCAAGAATCATAGGATAGTTTTAAGTCAGGGAGTGTGACCTCCTAGACCCTATGAGCTGCCCCTTTTGGGGCAGAATGGGGTCCCTGTCTGACCCCCTGACTCTTGCACCATCCTGTCTCCTGTTCCATCAGACCTGCAGAAGCTCCTGGAGATGGTCCGGGAAGATGCCCGAAGAGCGATCGTGCTGATGACTGAGATGCAGAAGAAAGTTCCCAGGTACATTCCCTTAACTCAGTCAAACAGCCATGAGAGCCACAGTAGCTATCACCAGCTCGTGATTCAGCTAGTCCACTGAGCTGTGAACTGTGCATGTGTGGACTGCCCTGGATTCTTACAAGAACCCCTAGAGGAGGAAGCAACCATCTGAACAAGGGAGGCAGAGAGGCTAAACTATTTTCTAATGGCTACACAGCTGGTGGGTGGTGATGTAAATCTAGAAATTTCTGATGTCTTGACGGCTCTGTCTGTCCGGGACCCTGTGGGCTGGTACTCACCCTTCTCATGAGTATTTATGACTATGTGTAAACTATGTGTGCAAGGAAGAACTTGGAAACTTAGAATTTAAAAACCTAGGGTTTTTACATAAAACAATACTGCTGTCAATGTTGGCCAGAGAAGGTGCTTCTGCAGTGGGCAGTAGTTAACACAGAGACTCAGAACTAGTCACAGCAACGAGCACAAGTGATTGCACTTTGGATTGCTTGTTCTAAATCAGACACGTCTATCAACTTCATTACAAAAGAGGGGGTGGGAAGAGGGTAAGAGCTGGAGGGTGGGGAGGGGTGCCCTGGAGTGCAGTCTTCAGGAAAAGGCATGGCTGTGGCATTCATAAACATCCTGCAGCTATGATGACGTGCATAAGATCCGAACAAGATCAAGCCATCGTGATCAGTCAGCATTCCAGCTGGCAGTATTAAATAGACTCAGTGGGTTACACAAAAAGAGAGGGGTGCTGGAGAGATGGCTTAGAGGTTAAGAGCACTGACTGCTCTTACAGAGAGGTCCTGAGTTCAATTCCCAGCAGCCACGTGGTGGCTCACAACCACCTGTAATAAGATCTGGTGTCCTCTTCTGGTATGCAGACAGAACATTGGATACATAATAAACAAATCTTTATAAAGAGAGGGGGGACATGGAGGTTGGAAGGCATGTGTTGAGGGGTGTCCAGTAGGGGTGGTTAGGAGGAGGGAGTTTGGAAGAATATGGTCAAGATAAATTGTCTCCAGGGATGGAGTTGACAAAAATAAGCAAAAGAGCTTTGAGTTAGAAATCACTCAGTGTGCAAAGCCTTGGGCTCCATCCCCAGTACTGTAGGGAGAGAAAAAACAAGACAGAGAAACAAAATATAATACGAGCATGGTGGCACATGCCTGTGATCTCATTACTCAGAAGGGGGAGGTGGGAAAATCTTGAGTTTGAAGCCAGCCTGGGCTACATAGCAAGACCCTAACACAAAAGGGGTCATTGGTCTAGAAACTCATGAGAGTTTCTTCTTTCTCTGGGGGAAACTTTAAGCTGAGATTTGAGATGAAGTCAGCCAGGGAAAGGCCTGCCTATCAAAGGTGATAGACCCACGGGCCAGGGAGGGTGGAACATTCAGTCAGCCATATGCAGTCAGCTGTGTGCAGCATCATCAGGGAGCGGGACACAGCCAGAATGGGGCAGAGAAAAGCATACATTGGTGAGCTTCCTCTTGGAAACCCTCACCTGGAGGGTTTGTAGTCTCACCCTAAAAAGCATAGGCACCCTTGATGCTCCCAGCAGCTACTAGAACAGCTGGCTCATAAGAGAGTAGTGTTGAACTTGAAGCTGAGGTGTCCGTCTTCTGGGGGAAAGTCCTGCCCATGGACCTGCGGCCTCTATGAATTCTCCAGAGAAAATGCAGGTAGAGTCAGAGATCCCGTCTCCAGTGTAAATCCCCCCGAGCAAGCAAATTATTTACAGAAAATAAACGGAGCCCAAGAAGAGGTTTATCACGAGCCTCAGCCGACTGGGACACCAGCCATGACTTATTGGTTCTCGTTAGTGCTGTAATTACCCTTCTCCGGTGTTTTCGAATGCATCACACCCCACCTCCGGGTGTTAATGATGAATCTGTCCGCTGCAGCCTCAACTCGGACCCACCCCCTCAGAATGCATGTGGAGGCATTCTGAGACAGTTGACCTGTAAGACACTCGCCCCCTCAGCAGTAGCGACAGACAAAGGTGACAAGCTCAAAGGCTTGAGTAGAGCTTCTGAGTCAGATGAAGCCTGATGCTGAGGACCGATGTCTCAGTCCTAAGCACCAAGGCACAGCTTTGGGACCCCAGAGACTAATGAGTATCTCCATCCCATTACTCAGTTTCTGTGTGATCAAGTTGCTTCCCCTGAGTCTTGTCACAACTGTAAAAAAAAGCACCTCAGCAACTTACCCAAAATGGTCGTAGTGAGAATTAAGTCATACTGTTCGTGCAAAATTCTAGGAATTTTCCGGAAGTCGCGTCTATCTCCATGAGTCCTCAGAGCATCTAGGGATATAATGCATTTATTAATACTCCAGCTTTTTCCTGGCATTCAGTTAGCAGCCAATAGTTACAGCAGGAGCAGTGAGCGCAGTCATGACTTCTGCTCTTTATACAGGAGCCACAACCTTTACAGCATTTGCTGAGGCAAGTGGATCAGCTGTCACCATGGTCACATGTTCTAGGTGGCTTTCTCCTGCCATGATGAAACACTGACCAAAATCGGCTTACAACCCCAGGCCACAGCCCGGTGCTTTGAGAAGTCAGGGCAGAAACCTGGAGGCTAAAGCTAAAGAAGAGGCGGAGGAAGAACGCTGCCTACTGGCTTGCTCCCACGGCTTGCTTGCTTTGCTTTCTTAGACCACCTAGGACCATCTGCCTGGAGGATGGCACCACCCGCAGTGTTGGCTCTCCCACATCAGTCAGTATGTAGTTCTGGCTTTTGTGTGGAGTGTGATGGGGGGATTCTAGGAGAACTGTGATTCTAGAGGTGTGAAATTGTAGATGAAGTCTAGGTGAGTGTGGAAGTCTAGGCAAGTGTGGAAGTCTAGGTGAGGGTGGAATTCTAGATGAGTGTGGAACTCTAGAGAAGGATGTAACTCTAGGCAAGTGTGGAATTCTAGGTATGCTTTTCAAATTCCCCATCTGTCTGTACATGTGTGTGCAATTGTTGTGTATTGTGAAATTCTGGGTGTTTTTAATTCTAAAAATGTGTATATAATTGTGGTGTGTGTGCACGCATGTATATGTGTGCCCATGTGTGTGTGTGTGCACGTGTGTGTGTGTGTGTGTGTGTGTGTATTAAATTGTGAGTTTTTGAGTATGGTGCAATTCTATAGTGTCTGTGTACAATTCTGGGGTTCTGCAATTCTCCAGAGTAGGTGGATCATGCTGGCATCTGTCAGTGTGTCTGAGTCTAGGAAAATGAGGGCTTCTACATACGGTTTCTGAGCACAACTTGGCCCAGCACAGCCAAGTCTCTGAACACACATGTGGCCCAGAATCTGTGTTCTCAGCAGACTTCCCCAGGTGTTCCCTTCACTGTGACTCTGTAGCTTATTCTGGGAGGAGACAACTGGTCCTAGCACAGACACCTGCTGGAACCTGAGCCTTTGTTACAAGACTCCTCTTGTTTTGTAGCATCCTGAACGTAGTCAAGCAAATCAAGAGCGATTCTGGCTGGAAGGAGTGGCCGACCGTCTACAAGTCCAGGTAGGGAATTCTGAAACCTCCAGCAACTGGAAACAGGGTGGAGAGGCAGAGAAGCCGGTCCTGACCCAGGGCCAGCACACAGATGCTGGGACAGAAGGGCTGAGAGGGGAACCTCTCCTTCTTTTGACCTCTCTACAAGTAAGATCCTTTTGATGTTGGGCTGGCAGCAAATACCCAGACACTTCTCTTCAACGTTTATATTCCATGCTTTCCACTAAACTCTTCCATCCATGACGAAACATGGCCCAGGACCCCCTTCTCATCTATTTTAAGGTGCAATTCCGTTTTGCCTGTTTGAGATCCGCAGCCTGACACTGCGTGCCACATATGCACGGGCCTGGAGGACCCCACTCTGAATCAGCTTCCCTCCTTCCCTTTGAGTAGCCTGTCACATGACATGGAGTCAGTCCCCTCTGTGGCCCAGGAGCTGTGCCCAAGTCCGGAAGCTTCAATAAGCAAATGAAACAAATACATTGCACACCCAAACACCTGACTGGAGCATCCTTGTGCTTTGGGGCCTTAGACAATCCAAGGAAGCCCGTGGGTGCCTTCCAGAAGGATGTTATAAATGCACGTTATAAACTGTGAGGATTCTGAAGGCATCTACAGTGGTGAGGTCACTAGATCACTTCCCAGTTTGAGGCATAGTCTTCTAGGAGCTCACTGATGCATTACAGAGTAAGACTTCACAGGAGGGCTGGCAAACACTGTGACTTTGGATTAGCATTGAGTGTAAATGATTCTTGAGACTATCCCACGATTGCCATGTGACATCTAAATGCCCGTCATTTCCATCTCAGTTAGAAATCAGTTAAAACAGAGATGAAGATGTTTTCCTCTGTTTGCCTCCAGGGGTCCCCTGAATTATCCCCATTTTTGAGAATTTATAATACAGTAAGCAAATGCTAATGAAACAGATGTCACTCAGTGTGCCAGGTGGGGTTGACGCACACCTTTGACCCTAACGCTGAGGAGATAGAGATGGGCAGGTGTCTGTGAGCTAAAGGCCAGCCTGGTTAACATAGGGAGTTCCCAGCCAGCCAAAGCTACATAGCAGGGCCCTGTCTCAAAAGCAAAGCTGGTGCTCATGGGTCGGGAGATGACTTGGTTGATAAAAAGTACTTGTCATGCAAGCATCAAGGCCTGAATCTTAATCCCCAGGACCCACATTAAAAGCAGGGTGTGGCGGCATGTGTTTATAACACAGACATACACACATGTGCGTGTATGTGCATGTAATGTACACACACACACACACACACACACACATGTCCTGGGAGAAAGGCAGAAAGGCAACATGGAGTGTTGGATCTGATCTGGAGTGGCCATCTCCTTGCAGAAGCTGGTCTAGCTGCAGTCACGGGGTAGAACAGTTGTGCAAGGGGTCTAATTGGTCCATACCTAGAATGGCTCCAAGGATGTGATAAGCTAAGTGATTCCAGAGGTGACTGACAGCCAGGCCGGACTCTGAATCTAGACTCTGGATTCTTATCACCTGGGTCTTCAGCTCAATGCAGATGTCAGTCAAAGGTCCTAGGAACAGAACTGATGGCAGAATCTGCTTCCCTAAAGGGGAGTTTTGTAGACTGGCTAAGGCTGTAGCCTGGCTCATCCAACAACAGCTGCCCCCCTAAGGAAAGGCCAGGAATCTAGTACTTGTACAGTCCACGAGGCCGGACATCTCGGCTGACCCTCAGCCTATGGTGGCATCCCGAAGAAGGGGGTTCTCACAGCAGTGAAGGAATGACTCAGCAGCGGGAGAGATGACCAAGAGGGAGGAAAAGCAGACTTCCTCCCTGCATTTCCTTCTCTGTGTGATGGCAACAGGAGTGGCCCAGATTTGAGGTGAGTCTTCCCACCTCAAACAATCAAGATTTAGTGTGGGTCTTCCCATCTTAAATGATGCAATTAAGAAAACCCCCTCACAGGTGTGCCCAGCCACTTGGGTTTAGTTTAGTTCCAGGTGGAGTAAAATTAGCCGTCACAGGGACCCAGTTTAGCAAAGTGTCTCCTCAAGTGAAGTGTCGGTCTGGAGTGAGGAACAACAGACATAACACGGGAAGACTCAGCCACCCCTGTCCCGGCATGCACCTGTCGCTATTGAAGATAGCATGTGATCCCCACACTACACGGATGCAAAAGGTCAAAGAGTCTAAGGATATAGGACTCACTATGGACCATGAGACAAAATAGCAGTAGGGATGGTGGGAGAGAGACAAGAAAGACACTCCAGGCAGAAAGATGAGAGAAGCGAAGTCCAAGATTGGAGATGAGGGGCACTGAGTCCTGGTCCCCAGGTAAGAGTCTTCTCTGCGCCTGAGTTCTGGGGGCCTCAGAGGAATCCCTGATGAAAAACAATCGGAAATTGTCCCTTGGTGTTTCAGTGAGAGATCCAGCACTACCAGTGGAGAAAGCCACATCATGGTGACGCAGAAGAAGTCAAAGGGGTAAGTCAGGTGGGGAGCGGCACATCGTGGGCAGGAGGGAGACCTCACCATGGTAACTGCATCCTTGGTCTCCCAGGCTTATGGGAAAAGCTCAGTACAGACCAGATTCCCCAATCCATAGACAGGAAAGAGGGACAAGGGTCTCACAGACCAGATCCTGAGCAGCCCTGTGGAATACGACATGAAATCCCTCTGCAGCACCAAGCACTCCGGGCTGCGTCCTACATTTGCAGCATTGTTTATTCCCCAAGCCCAACCCTGACAGGCCACAGCCTCATCTCATTTTACAGAGTAACAGGTTGAAAGTTGGCCACATGCAATGTCCCGATTGAGGTCACACAGCTGAGAAGGGGAGAATCTGGAGTTGGAGGCTCGCTATCCTTGGCATCCGCTGGGATCCAGCTGAAGCTAGCTCACTGTGGCTTGTGTATAAGGCCTGAGTCACCTCACATTCTTCCAACCTCCAAAGGATGCTGGGGGAGGTGCCAACTGGAAACAGCATAGTTGGACACTAGCAGTTCCCACTTGAGGGTATATTGGGCTCACAGAGGCCAGTGAGACCCATGAGGCTACCAGGAGTGTGCATTGGACCCCATTTCTCAGTGGTTTCTCTTGTCCACAGCCGTGCTAACCGGGACATCATCCAATGCAAGAGTGGCGTGTGTAGCAGTATGCGGGCCAAGTTTTACAGCATAGCCCAGGAGGCCGGCTTCTGCCTACAAGACAAGATGGAAATCCTCATGAAGTAAGGGCAGACACATGTCCAGCCCATTGCAAGGGCTTGTACCTGGTACTGCATGTTCAGCATGTATCCAGTGCTGGAGCAGGAGTGACAGGGAGACACCTTTGCCACCCTTGGGGAGCGAACTCTGCCTCTTGAGAAACAGAAACAAAATCACTGCATCCACAGAGAGACACAACTTAGATTCACCCCATGTGGGAAGAAAACAGGTGTTATGTCTGGGGAAGATGGATGGACCGGGGTGGGGGGAAGCAAAGGAGAAAGAGGGAGAGGGAAGCAGGAGAGGATGAGGAGGAAGATGAGGAAGAGAGAGGAGAGGGGGAGAAGGCCAGAAACTAGGGACCCTGATTCAGGTTGGGTAATCAGGGAAGTCCTTTCTGACAAGGTGGCTTTATGATGACCATGAAGGAAGCAGAGGAACCCAGAAGAGAAGAAACTAGGAAGAGAAGTGTTCCAGGTGGCAGGCCCCTGGGAACTCTGATAGGACCCACCACATCACATACAGTCAGAATGCTGTCAGTGGAGTTCAACATTAACAGGCCACAGGAACCCTCCTTGTCCCCACTAAAGCCCTCCCCGAACTAAGGTGACCATGGGCCCAGGGAACTCACACTCCCAGGTGACACTTCACACCCCCTTCCTGCTCAGAACTCACCATCTACAGAGACAGGTGAGTACACGAAAATCTACCACATAGGGCAGTGAGGGCCAGCGATGATGGGGACGAGCAGAAGACTCAGAAACATGGAGAGCGGGTGTCCTTCCTTGTAATCAAAGAGTGAACATTCATTTGCCAGCCATCCAGACCTGAATAATCACACAAAACTATATTAATTACAACACTGCTTGACTGATGGCTCAGACGTATTTCTAGCTAGCTCTTGTATCTTAAATGAACCCATTTCTATTAATCTGTGTATTACAACCAGGCAGTGACTTACCGGTAAGCTTCTGGCGTCTCTCCTTCGGCAGCTACGTGGCTTCTCCCTGACTCCGCCTTCTTTCCCCTGCATTCAATTTAGTCCCCCCCCCACCCCTGCATGCAGCTCTATTCTGCCCTACCATAGGCCAAATCAGCTTCTTTATTAACCAATGGTAATAAAACATATTCATAGCATACAGAGGAGAATCATACACACTTCCTGACCTGGGAAAGCCACCCGATCATCTTAATGAAGGAGAGATTCTCAGGTTAACTAATGACAGTGCCATCTCCAGGGTACCATGTTAGGCAGCGTCCTCCACTCAGTGAGCTGAGAGCTTTGCAGTTAGTTATGCACCATTTATGGTTCCCAACAGCCCCACAGGTGAGGGGCTTTAATCCCCCTACAGATGCTATAAGCACACTCAGAGAAGTCTTGTACCAAAGGCCCTTTACATGACAAAACAATGAATTGTGTCGTTACAAAACAATAAAGGTGGGATCCAAACCCAGAGAATCTGGCTAGAAAATTAAGAGGAACTCCAAGGAAAAGCAGTCCCAGAGCATAGGATGGAACTGCCTGGTGTCAGCTATGACTGGCTCTTGGGATGCTTATGGGGAGATCAGAGAGCTAGACAGAGTCCAGATCCAAAAGGCTTTGCTGGCCTGCCCCCTCCTAGTGTGGAGATCACACTTTGTCCCAAAGGCCCTGATTGTGAGGAAGAGGCTCAGAATTCTGAGCATGATGATGCAGTTGGAAAGTGTAGAAACGGGATTAGCTGGGACTTTTAGGAATAAGTTCCTCTAAGTTCCTTATTCCAAGTGAGATGGAAAGCACTGGATGCTGGATAAGGGGCATTAGGCGTGAGCATCATCACAACCTGGATTCTCTTTGGAGAGAGGGCTGTGTGCAGAATGGAAGAGAACAACAACATGAGTTCAGCACCCCCTGTGTGCCTGGCAGAACGCTCAGTGCTCTGCACACAGAATTCAGAGACGATGAAATCACTTCAGCACATTGGAGAGAGCTATGGCTTCTGAAAGTGCTCGCCCGCCCGTAGCTAAAGTTGGGGGGGGGGGGGGTCTGTGTCTCTAATTCCTCTCCCACTTCTTCACACCACTCCATAGGCGCCAAGAAGAGCGGAGTCTCCAGAAGTTCCACTCTTTTGTTCTCGCCTCGAATTTCCAAAAGGATATATCAAAGATGAGGCACCAGGTCCCGGTGATGAAGGGGGATGCAGAAGAGATTGCGGACCACTGGTAAGACCCTGAGGACCAGACAAGATGGCCCCTTAGCATTACATCACGGTCAATCCCAGGGTTCTTCAGTGGCCTAGAGGTATCCCCTCCCAACTACTGTCTACCCCAATTGGGTCCCCCAAATCAAAACACAATCAGGAAAGAACCTGTCAGCTTCACAACCATGTGTCATAAAACCTGTCCTGGTCTTCATAGTTGCTGCGAATTTGACCCAGACTTAGAAATAAGGAGAGCCCATTTACCACCCCTCCCATGCGCATATGCACGCAGACACACACACACACGCACCCGCACACACACACATATACACGCACCCGCACACTCACACACACACACACACACACGCACCCGCACACACACACATATACACGCACCCGCACACACACACATATACACGCACCCGCACACTCACACACACACACACACATGCACCCGCACACTCACACACACACACACACACACACACGCACCCGCACACTCACACACACACACACCTGTCAACCAAATGTCTACAGAGCTTTAGTTCTCTGAGGTTATCACTGCATACCCCTGGGAACACTGTGCCCCAGCACATGCGAGAGGACAGACAGATAGCAGCAGGGGAGGGCTGGGGTCCACTGCGTGGCAGAGGATGGCACTGAGTATTTCAGAATAACTGGAGGGAGGATGTTGAGTCGCTTCCTATGGAAAAGCGACGAATACTTGCTGGATGTACCAAGCATCTACATTGGGACGTTAGGCGCTGTACACAAATGCATCCAGTCGGGACAGCATACACTGCATAGAAGTTCTGATGCTTGCTGGGTGTGGTGCCACACTGCTTTAATCTCAGCAGCATTCAGAAGGCATCAAGACCGGTCTGGTCTCCACGATAAGTTCCAGGTAACCCAGCTACATAGTGAGGCTCTGTCTCAAAAAGACAAAAGAGCAAATAAAAAAGTCCTGATATGTTACACAAGTACCCTAGAAAAAAGTTCAGTGATGACTTCAATTAAAATAAGATATTTCAAAATGTAAAGAAAATACTGACCAACCGTAAGAAATCACTATGAATCGCGTGGCTGGTGGATGGCAGAGGTTGCCCTAAGAAAATTTAATGTTTCGTATTTTATCCCCCATATCCTTAAAGATACATATGAAACTGAGTCTCAGCGCAGTCGGCTCACTTGTCCCGGGCCATACTGTCTGTAAGTGGCGAGCATAGGACACGAACCTCGGTCTGGTCTCAGAACTGCCATTCACATGTAATATTGAACTAGAGTCTGACGCATTGTGTGTCATGAACTCCATTCTGCCAGGATGGAGGAAAACAAAATCTTTTTTAAAAGATGAGAAAATGAAAAGATGGACCTAGAATCCCTCCCACATTGTTATTGACATGAAGTAGGAACTTGCCAGAGGGACCCTGAGCTGTAGGGGAGATGTGGGAACCACCCGCACTGCCTCACACGCCCAGGTCTTTGCCGTTTCATGAGTAGCAACTGTCCCCGGAGTTACATGGGCTCCCAAAGGTGCCTTATGTAAGGGGGAGGGAGAGTGAGTTTATAGCCTCCCCTTTGGGAAGGAAAGTGGAAGGGTAATAAACTAACCCCCACGAAGATATTGGAGTGGGAAGTTAGTGTTGAGCCTCCCACAGTGGGGCTCAGCCAGCGTCTCTAATGATGGGGCTTTTGGTATCATTACGGGGAAACAAGCGCCCTCCATAGCATCATTAAAATCAAGTCAAATGAACCACAGCCTGCCAACAAGTGTGCTCAGCTGGGCTTCTCACTCATCCACTCTTTCTGATAATAACTATTGGAAGCCTACTATCTGCCCGGCACAGTTAGTTCAGTGCTGTGTGCTGAGTAGCTCAGACAAAGTTCATACTTTCATGGGGACTCATGCTACACAAAGACACATGAATAAATACACAAACGCATACCACAAGTACAAAGATGAGTATCCAAGAATGTTTGCTGGGTCAGGCTAGTCTTCAAATACATAAGTACACAAGCACAGTGGTACATATGAGGTGGAAGAAGGCACTTTTCATCACCATTATTATAAATTATGTCATAATTCTATAATTGAATTATTATTATTAGTGCATGTGGAAGACTGAGAGAGACAAAAAGATGGGGGCATGTGCGGAGTTAAGGGAACAACTTTGTGGGCTCTTTTCTCTCCTTCAACCCTTTTGTGGGCTCTGGGATCAAACTCAGGTTGTCAGACATGTGTGACAAGCACTTTCTAAACACATGCACCATTTGTCTTAAGTAAGCCCTGACCACAGTTAAAGCATGCTCATAGATCTAAGGTGGATAAGTAGGTTAGACAGAAGTAGGCCAGGACCCAACTGTCTCTGCCATCTCAACAATGCATTCCCAGTGGTAGCATGAAACACACAGCCTGTCAGCTGAGCTTGTTATCATGGAGATGGGAAATGTACAGGTCATCATCTCCATCACCACCATCATCATCTCTATTACCACCATCATCTCCACCATCATCTCCATCATCATCATCACCACCATGACCATCATTATCTCTATCACTACCATTATCTCATCACCACAATCATCATCATCTCTATCATCTCTTTCAACTCCATCAACACCATCAACACTATCACTACCATCATCTTAAGCACCATCATCTCCACCACCATCATCTCCATCACCATTATCTTCAACATCACCACGATCATGTCCATCACCACCATCATCTCCAGCACCACCATCAACTCCATCACCACCATAATCTCCATCCCCATCATTTCCATTCAGAAAGGGGCAGGACTCCCACAGGCTTGCAATAAGCATGGCACATCAAGTTGAGACAGGACTAAGCTCCTCCCCTTATATCTAAGTGGGATGAGGTAATCTGGCATGGGAAATTGTAGAAGGGAAATTGTAGTTTATGCCCCGGAATAATTACACGGAAATTATATTCATTTCAACACTGCCTGGCCCATTAGTTTCAGCCTCTTATTGGCTAATTCTCACATCTTGATTAACCCATTTCTAATAATCTGTGTAGCACCACGAGGTGGTGGCTTACCGGGAAAGATTCAGCATGTCTGACCTGGTGGCTGGCTCCATGGCATCTGACCAGCTATGCTTTCTTTCTCCCAGAATTCTGTTCTGTCTACTCCACCTAACTAAATCCTGCCCTATTAAAAAGCCAAGGCAGTTTCTTTATTAACAAATGAGAGTAGCACATAGACAGATGACCCTCCTCCATCAGGAAATAAGTTACCAAAAGTCAGCTAAGTGCCAGGGAGAAATCCTGCTCTCACCATTAGAAGCCTTACTAAGAGGCCAAGCTACACAGTTGTCACACACATTCAGAGAGCTAGGTCAGTTCCATGCAGTCTCCCTAACTGTTGGTCCAGTGTCTATGATCTCCCACGAGCTCAGGTCAGCTGTCTCTGTGGGTAGGTTCCCCCATCGTGACCCCCCAATTGGTACACTCCCTCCTCCCTTTCGTCAGCAAGACTCTGGGAGCTCAGCGCAGTGCTTGTCTGTGGATCTCTGAAATGCAGTCTTTTAAAGCATGCAAGTGAAACAGAAGCTGGCTACCCTTAAACATAAATCCTTGCCTTGTGTATGACCTTACAAAAGCTGGGTGTAGAGGATAGGGCCCATGTAGAGTGTCATGATGCCTCAAAAAATCCCAAGAGTAGAGAGGAAAATAAAGGAGGATCCAAGGGGTCCAGACCCCATCCCGGGGCCTCTCTAAGGTGATGGGGGCCCAGATCCACACACCAGGGCCTCTCTAACCAGCTCTCGCCTCTTGGATTTGAAGGTACTTTGATCTGTTATCCAAACTCCCTGAGGATCTGAAAAACTTCCGGCCTGCAAAGAAGGTCCTGACAAAACTGCAGAAGTTTGGAGAGAACCTAGACCTGAGGATCCGGCCGCATGTCCTCCTGAAGGTGCTCCAGGACCTGCGGATCTGGGAGCTGTGCTCTCCAGACCTTGCGGTGGCCATCGAGGTAATAACCAATGCCCCTTCCGTCCCAATGCCTCAGGTGTCTTCCTTCAGTCATCTTCCAACATCCAAGCACTGCTTAAGTGCAGTGAACCCAACCATCCCGAAATAGCAAGAGCCTGCCCTCTGCGAGCTCTGCTCTATTTGGTTGTTCAGTGGCAGCTCCAAGGCTCAACAGAGTAAGCAGTACTCCCTGGAGACTAGGAGGTTAGGAAGGGATGCAAGTGGGTTAAGCCATCCAAATTAACTCAGAGTGTGCTTCTGAAACTGCAGATGGTTGCCAGGCCAGCAGCGTGGCCCTCACTGGTGTTTGTGGGGAATGAGAAACCTCAGGCACCAGACCAAATTTGCCAACACAGAATTGACATGTTAATGAGATGATACTGAGGAAATCTGGTTTAACTTATAGAAGACCTCACTAACCAGGGCAAATGGGAAAGCTAAGGTTTAATCTTGGACTTGAACACTGAGAAGTCAGAATCGTGAAGAGAAGGCAAAAGAGCAGAGTAAGGAGAAGACGGCACATGTAACACACACACACACACACACACACACACACACACCAGCAAGACACAGCCTGACTTGTTGGAGAAATGCATTGCAAGTCATTGGGTGTGGCAGAAATTGATCAAGGAGGTGACTGTCAGCCCGAGAAGACCTGTGCAGGTCAAGGGAGAGCTTCAGGGCTCTCTTCAAGGGCGCTGAGAAGCTTTCCCATCACTGCCATCCCTCAAGGCCCAGGACGTCTAAGATAACAGCAGTAGGGTGCCAAAAAAAAAAAAAAAAAAAAAAAAAAAAAAAGGTTAAAGATGCTTATGGTGGTCCAGGTCTGTAATCGCAGCTGCTCTGGAGGCTGGCAGAAGGATGACAAGTCCAGTGATGACAAGTCCAGTGCCTGCTGGGCTACAGGCGAGCCCAAGGTCATCCCTGACAGCTTAGCCATATCTGTAGTGCCATTTCATTTGTATTTTAATAAATAAAGCTTGTCTGAAGATCAGAAAAGTAAAACAGCTACACTGGCCAGCCTTACAGACCAAGCAGCAATGACACACGCCTTTAATTTCAGTAACCCTGCTAGCTTGCCATAGAAACCAGGCGGTAGTGGTGCGCACCCTTAATCCCAGAACTAGAGAGATTATAAAACAGGAGGAGACAGCGCTCAGGCTCAGTATCATTCTGAGATTCTTCAGACAACTGAAGAAGCAGTCATCAGTTGGCAGGTTAGGGAAATGTAGTGGGGGAACATGCCCCATAGTGCCATAGCCCCAAACTCCATAGCCCAAACTCCATAGCCCAAACTCCATAGCCCCAAACTCCATAGCCCCAAACTCCATAGCCCAAACTCCATAGCCCAAACTCCATAGCCCCAAACTCCATAGCCCAAACTCCAAGCCCCAAACTCCATAGTCCAAACTCCAGAGCCCCAAACTCCATAGCCTGCTTCATTCAACTTTTTTTTTTTTTTTGAGACAGGGTTCCTCTGTAGCTTTGGAACCTGTCCTGGAACTAGCTCTTGTAGACCAGGCTGGCCTTGAACTCACAAAGATCCACCTGCCTCTGCCTCCCAGTGCTGGGATTAAAGGCGAGTGCCACCACCACCCAGCCTCCTTCAAATTTTGAAGCATTGGTCTATTGGTAAAAAGCAAATGCATTAACCAGGGTTCTCCAAAACAACCTAATTTATAGAATGTGTGTGTGTGTGTATATGTGTGTGTGTATGTGTGTGTGTGTGTGTGAGAGAGAGAGAGAGAGAGAGAGAGAGAGAGAGAGACAGAGAGAGAGAGAGAGAGACAGAGAGAGAGAGAGAATAGGATGACTTACATGCTGTAGTCCAGCCAATGCAACAGTAACTGTCTACCCATGGGAGGCACAACATTCCAGTCATTTCTCAGTCCATGAGGCTGGGTGTCTCGGCTGGTTTTCAGTATATGCTCAAATCTCCAAGAAGTAGACTCTAATGCCGGTGAGAGCAAGCAGGCAGAGTACTTCCTTCCTCCATGTCCTTTACACAGGCGTCCAGCAGAAGGTGTGGCCCGGATTAAAGATATTCTTTACCACCTCAAAAGATCCAGATTAAAAGGGGGTCTTGTCTCTTTAACTGCTTTAATTAAGAAAAAACCCTCACATGTATACCCAGCTGCTCGGCTTTTAGTTAATTCCAGGTGTAGTCAAGTTGACAGCCAAGAACAGGCATCACAGCAAAGTTCAGGGGTTCTCTTTGTTCAAGATGTATTTTTACTTATGTGCATGTGTGTTTTGTGTATGTGTATCTATGAGCACCACAAGAATGTTCGATCCTGCGAGAGTCAGAAGAAGGCACCAGATCCCCTGGAAGGTTCTCAAGTGTAATGGGTTCAGAATTCTGTTGTGGGCCAGACTGGCAGCAGCCCAACAAACAGTGGCCATGACAAGTCTGGCTTTGGGACGTTCTTCAGACTGTCTTTCTAGTCACGTCCCGGAAATGGTCATCATTTCCTATAGGTCATAGTTGTCCTATCCTGTCCTGTTTTTGGCTGTTATCACAATCCAACTGAGAAATGGGTGTTGTTGCTGGACATAATAAGAGAAATCAACAGGTCAAACAAGAACTTTCTCAATTTGTTTGTAGAGAGTCAGCTGCAATGAACGCCCTCAACCAGCCATTGTCTTGTCTCCTTGAACCGCCCCCACGCTGGCCGTTCATTAGAAGGTCCTGGGCCAAATGCCTCCTATCTGCTGCTTTAAGACCTATTTTAAATTCAAATCAGAACATCACTCATGTGATTGCAGAGATGGCTCAGCAGTTAAGATCCCTGGCTGCTCTCTACGAGAGCCTGGGTTCAATTGCCAGCCCCCACATGGCCATCCACATGTAACTCCAGTTCACAGGAATCTGATGCCCTCTTCTGGCCTTCATGGGCACATACATGCAACTCATACATATAAAATAATAATGTTCTTCAGAAAAGAAAATAACTCAAGTTTGTCTCCTGACTAACATCATTTCTGTAGTATAAAATAGACAATAAATCATCATCAATTAAATGAAGAACTAGGCAGCAAATGGTATATAGCATAACCACATTTATTTAAGAATGCATTCGTGTCAAATGATAAATTTCAACAGCACAAAAGTCTCAACTACTTTTGCAGCAACCTAAATATGAATGTCTGAATCATCGGGGTCATCTTGGATTCCAATGACGAAGTCATCTGGAATGTCGAACAGAGACTGGCGGAGGGGCAGTCTAGTCTAGCTTTCAAACCAGACCCTGAGTACCACTCTGTTTACTCCACAGTTTGTGCGCGAACATATCATCCATATGCCGCTAGAGGACTACATCAGCTGGCTCCAGACCCGGGTTAATACGCCTCTCCGGCATTACACTCTCCCCACATAGCTGGAGCCACGCCCTGTGGAGGAGGGCAAGCCAGCACTGTGTTCCTGAGTCCAGCCTGGGCCACCACGGAGCAGTGAGATGAGCAGAAGACACGTCTAAAAAGAGATGATGGCACCACGTGACCCAACCGGACCCTCCCCACCATCTTCCCTGCCTCTGCTCACTGTCCCACTCTGACTCTGCCTACTCTTTCAGACTCCCCCACCACACCTGAAAATCCTATTTAATAAAATCGAGTTGGATATTTCATATCTGCCTACGGAAGAGTTCAGGCTGTGGCAGTCAGATCTTAGGAGAACAAGTTATCATTTGCTGAGGTTTTGCATTGGCAGCCCAGTGCTGTATCGTATAATTATGTATACTAGCATATAAGATAGCTTTCCTGAGTAGACACAAATGATGTACCCATTCCATGCCACTGGAGCTGGAATGTTGTTTTCAGTATTTCAGTCACCTGTATTGTTTTGGATAGATGGACAAACGGATGAATAAATGAATAGGTAGAGAGCTGGATAAATAGGTAGATGTATAGGTGGATGGACAAATAAATATAAATATAGGCAGATGAATAAATGGATAGGTAAAGAGATTAATAAATGCATGGAAATGGATGAATAAATGAATGAATGGCTAGATGGATAAATGGATAGATGGATGGATGGATGGATGGATGGATGGAATGGATGGGTGGGATGGATGGGTGGGTGGGTGAATGGGTGGGATGGATGGATGGATAAATGGATGGATGGATGGGATGGATGGATGGATGGATGAGTAGGTGGGTGGATGGGGTGGGTGGATGGGTGGGTGGATGGGTAGATGATGGATAGATGGGTGATGGATGGATGGATGGATGAATGGATGGATGGATGGGTGGATGGATGGGTGGGTGGATGGGTGGGTGGGTGGATAGGTGGGTGGGTGGATGGATGGATGGATGGATGGATGGGTAGGTGGGTAGATGGATGGATGGATGGATGGATGGGTAGATGGACGGGTGGATGGGTGGGTGGATGGGTGGGTGGGTGGATGGGTGGATGGGTGGATGGATGGATGGATGGATGGATGGATGGATGGATGGGTGGATGGGTGGTGGGTGGGTGGATGGGCGGATGGATGGGTGGATGGATGATGGATGGATGGATGGATGGATGGATGGGTGGGTGGACGGGTGGGTGGGTGGATGGATGGGTGGATGGATGGGTGGGTGGATGGATGGATGGGTGGGTGGATGGATGGATGGGTGGATGGGTGGATGGATAGATGGGTGGGTGGGTGGATGGGTGGATGGATGGGTGGGTGGGTGGATGGGTGGATGGATGGGTGGGTGGGTGGATGGATGGATGGATGGATGGATGGATAGATGGGTGGGTGGGTGGATGGACGGGTGGATGGATGATGATAGGTGGGTGGGTGGATGGACGGGTGGATGGATGATGATGGATGGGTAACTGCAATGTCCATAAAGAAGTGACATGTATACATGCCCATGTGTATGCAGCTGTGCACGACACATACAGAAGTCAGAGCTTGATGTCAGGAGGTCGTCCTGTCCCATGGGTAGAGACAGATAAGTAAGGTGTGAGAGGAGAGATGAGATGAGGGAGAGAGGGGCCTGAGGACAGAATCACAAAAGCACAGAGCCACTGCTCACAGTGTGCCCTTTACCAATGGGCTGCTTCCTTCTGCACAGCGTGCAAACACCTGACGTGGACCATGGGAATCTGCACAGCCACTACAGACTGGCTCTTTCGTCCTTCCTATTCTGCAGACAGTGAGGCAGAGGCTCACAAGAATTCTTACACTCTTTTTTATTTAAATTTATTTTTGCTTGTATGGGTGTGTGTGTGTGTGTGTGTGTGTACATATATTCACACATATGTGTGCATACACATAGGCCAGAAGTCAATGCCGAGTGTGTTTTTCCAGCACTCTCTGTCTTCGTTTGTTTTGTATTGCTAAGATAAAACACTCTGTCAGGCCAGGTGGCACACACCTTTAGTTCCAGGCCATCCAGAAGAGATTAGACTAATAATAAATAAAGCACTGACCAAAAGCCACTTGGGAAGGAAAGGATTTATTTGGTTTACAAGGAACCATCCATCATTAAGAAAGTCCAAGACATTGACTCAAGGCAGGAACTGAAGCAAACGCCACAAAGAGCACTGCTTGCGGCTGCCTGGAGTGGCACCACTCACAGTGGATTGGGCCTCCTGCATCAATTAACAATCAAGAAAAATCCCCGCAGACTCACCCACCGCCCACCGGTTAAAGTGGTGAGGGCAGTTCCTCAGCTCGGTCTCTCTTCCCAGCTATGCCCAGGTTTGTGTCAGGTTGGCAAACACTGACATCCTTCAGGTTTATATTTTTGAGGCAGGATCTCTCACTGAAGCTGGGGTTTGCTGAGTCACCTAGGTTGACTGGCTGGCAAGCTGCTCCCAACACAGGAATTCTAAGCACCTGCTTCCCTGCCTGGCTTCTGGACATGGGGACTGTGGGTCTGGAGTAGGTCCTCAGGTTTGCAGCGCCTCACTGACGGAGCATCTCCCTAGCCTCTGAACTTATTTGTAGCTGACACGTAATTCCATAAAAACATTAGAACTGTACATATTATACCAGGAGATTTTCTTATAACTTGCATACATCGTATGTTCAATCAGCTTGCTCCTCAAATGATTATCATTTATAATAATAATTAAAAAAAAAACAAATCCTTCCCCGTGGTCTTTTGAAATAAAAGTGCAGCATTTGCAGCTGCAGCTGTCCTGAGTGCACTATGGCACCCTAGAATTTTTTGCCTCTACGTAGCTGTGCCTCCAAACCCCTTTGGTCAAGCTGGTCCTTGGCTAATTCTCCCAGTTTCCCCACTGCCGCCCCTGTCCCAGGTTCTCATTGTTGTCATACAAGGAGGTCACAAAGGTTGCTGTGTCTGAAGAAGTGTGCCTAAGGAATGGCTTTGGCGAGCACACGGATGCTCTTGTCTCGTGCAGTCTCCCAGGCATTCACGGGTGCACTGTCTCATGCAGTCCTCAAAGTCTCGTCTCCCAGGCGCTCACGGCAACTCTGCAGCGGTAAAGAGGGAGTCACCAAAATATCCATTTTTATAATTAAGCACATGAAGACCGACACATAATTTGTGCCAGAGTCTAGTCTAGAATGAGGTCTGTCTGTGACAGGAATTAGCCTAAAACCACAGGACTTCCAACTTCCTCCACCCTAGGTGCCTTCTCAGCTTAGTTTTCAGAGCTATAGCGCCATCTAGTGGCAGCTGCTCAGCCGTTAGGATTGCTTTCACTATGCCCTCGAGCAAAGTGTAACTGTCTTGCCAAAAAGGAAGGCAGCCACTGTTAGCAATTACGAGACCTACAAGCTCAGACGAGGAGTAACAAGCTCACATAGAGGAATGAGGGGGAGGGGGTACTAAAACATAGCAGGAACAAGGGACAGCAGCCAATGCATCATATCCCCAGCTCTCCGGCTCTAAGAGCCCCAGGGAGAAATAATTTTGGAGTGAAAAGCTTTAACAGAATCTGAGAGAGCAGCGACAGTCTGGTCCTCAAAGTCACTGTCCCCCTAGATTGCCCGAGCCTTCTGTGTATCTGCTATTATAGCTCTAAAACTGCCTCTTTTGTCTCGATTTTCTGTTTATACATACAGTTCTTCATTTGGTTGTGAGACCAGGGTCTCATGAAGCCCACGGGGATCTTGAATTTGCTTGCATATCTGAAGCTGACCTTGAACTCCTGACCCTCCTGCCTCTGCATCCCAAGCATTGGGATCCCAAGTGTGTACCAGTATGCCCAGTTCTATATATGTCTTTAAAAGACATTAAAACAAAATCACATCAAAGCAAACCACAGGCCAGATTTAGGCCAAGAAGTCATAGTCTGTGGATCCCTGCTTCAGGGTGAGTTTAAAGAAGACATGCTTTCTATTGTTTCCAAAAGAACACACTGGGAGCACTGAAAAACTGGAATGATTTTAGTATCTGCTTAGATGTTTAGATGGCATTTACTGTTTTTTCATGGAAAAAGAACATATGCACAGGGTAAAACCTCACAGTGCCAACCAGGTAGTAACCATCCCCTTCAATGACAGTACACACTGTATCCAGTAGCTTCGGGTCAACCCGGAGATATTCTGTGTGAGCACCAGCAAGAGACGATGATGAACAAAGGAGTGAGCAGGATGTCTCTGTGTGCCGCATGCCAGGCATGACCCTAAGCCGGCGGTTCTCAACCCCCATAACGCTGTGGCCCTTTGATACAGTTCCTCATGCTGTGGTGACCCCAAACAGAAAACTGTTTTCATTACTACTTAAACTTCCAGCTCCCACTCCCTGTATGGCCTTGAAGGGCATCGCATCTGACAAGTGCAGAGAACACTCCAGAGCCCACGAGGATGCCTGTGTGTAGATAGATAGATAGATGATAGATAGATAGATAGATAGATAGATAGATAGATAGATAGATGATAGATAGATAGATAGATGATAGATACATAGATACATAGGTAGATAGACAGATAATCTGTCAAGTCCAGCAGGTGTTGCTTATAGAGTGTTTAAGGCTGACCACTGGATTGGATAACCCAGCAGGGGTTTGTCATCCCTGGAGAAGACTGATTCTCCTCTCTCAGCAACCACCAATCGCCTATAACTCTCCACCTAGGGACGGGGCCTTGTGAAATGTCCCCCATCCATGTTGGCATACTGGTTATGCTGGTGTTATTTAGGCAACCACATTGTTGAGATTTCATATGCACCACTTTTATGATGGGAACAAAATTAAGCCCACAGAGTAAAATATTTCCAAGGAAAGGAAGGGATGGCAATCCCAGTTACAAATACCCAAAATCACCCTCCAGAGAAGGCGTCCTAGACAAAGAACCATCTTAGGTGAGCTGAAAGCACCCATATTTCACTGATGAAGAAACTGAGGCATGCAGAGCTAACGTTTCCAAGGTCACAGACATGGGAAGAACTACGGCTGGGAATGAGG